GGCTGGAAGTGGCACGTGCCACTGTAGCTCATACTTGATTGGTCAAAGCAAATCACATGACTCCCTGACATGAGCAGAACAGTATAAATTTCCTCCCAGAAAGGGTAGCAAATATATTTTACAACAGTAAAATATGTTGTAGATAACCTTATTTCTGTTACCACAAGTAAATTTCTTTAGCAACTTACTTATAAAATTATTATAATAAAAAGAAGATGGCTTGATTTATAAATTAGAACTTTAATACTTGAGAAAGTACCTACTTTAACTATCATATTCAGGATACCTATAGCAATGTCTTACATAGAGACATTTTTATTAAAAGTTTGCTGAATCATTATTATGCATGAATTGTTATAAATTACAGACCTTCAAGGAAGAGCTAAGATGTCATTTCTCTTCTTCCATACTATCTCAGACTTTCACATCAGATTTGGTTATTTGGATTGATGCTAATAGGGAAAAAAATGGTTGGGTAGGATTTTGAGGTTGGTTAGTACTTCAGAATTTCTTTTTTTAAAATGCGAGGCGAGGCAAGCTACCACAAGATGAATGGCAGTATTTTGAGCACAACTACATAGGCATCCTATAGGTATTATTAGCTGAATTTAAACAATAATAAAGTGAGGGAAAATGTGCAGCTAATATTTTGCTGTATTTTAATATTATATAGTTTAGATCAACATTTAAATCAATATTAAATGAGGATGCCATTTTGTATCTTGTCAATCATTTCCTGATACCTGCTTTACTAAAGTATTTGAATAAACCACTTTTCTATTTCATTATATTTTGTGACTTCAAGATATTTTTATATATATTATTTGAACATTTTGAATAAAAAATATCTTTAGGCAAACAATAGGCATCTATTGTTTTTACCTGTCCATTATTCATTTCTCATTCATCTAGCTACAGCAAACTGAATTTCTGTGGGACTCCACTTCTTCCACATGTTCAGGTTATATGGTTGGAGTGGATCCACTTTTCCCTCCAACTCCAGGAAGAGTCACATGACATTTCCTTGGCAAATCTGAGCACTGTACTCCCTTGCTTAGCCATTATTTATTCAGGAATAAGAATGTGATATTCAGGAATAAGTCATGTGACTGGGATTTATGACTAGAACTTTTATTGGAACTTTTGTGATTTTCTCTCTCTCTCTCTCTCTCTCTCTCTCTCTGAGACAGAATTTCACTCTTGTTGCCCAGGCTGGAGTGCAATGGCATGATCTCGGCTCACCACGCCTCCTGCGTTCAAGCAATTCTCTTGCCTTAGCCTCCCAAGTAGCTGGGATTACAGGCATGTGCCACCACTCCCAGCTAATTCTGTATTTTTAGTAGAGACAGGATTTCTCCATGTTGGTCAAACTGGTCTTGAACTCCCGACCTCAGGTGATCCACCCGCGTCGGCCTCCCAAAGTACTGGGATTACAGGTGCGAGCCACCATGCCCAGGCTATTTCTCTTTCTTTCAGAGATGAATGGGTAGGATAGAAGCCTACCCAATCGGGACAGAAATATGCAAGAGCCTTCCTGTGAATGGAAGCCACATGAGGGAAGACAGAACTTGGAAAAGGAAAGAGTAAAGTAGAATTTCAATTACATCATTTAAATGGCTGGATCCGAAAGTATCTGGACATTTCACCTCTGGGCATTCAATATCAAAATATTTGTTTCTCACATCACATTTCAGTGATGTGAGCCAAATGTTACCTTCCACCACCGTTTTAAGAGTCCACGTGAGTTCGGTGTTCCTTCACTTGCAACCAGAGTTCTCACTGATAATTTGTTTATAGGGTGGCTCATTCCTCCCTCGGTGGTATACGACAGTGAAACAACAAGACATGGCAGGCTAAAAGTCATAGAGTACCACATTATTACACACGGAGCCACAAAAACAGCACCAAGCCATGGGTTTTGGGGCTCCCTCTCTTGCTCTCTGCAAGGCATTAATACATAGTGGGAGAAAATGATAAGATCTATATTATCATAGAACTTGTCACATCTTTATCATGTTATTTTAATATTCATTTACCCTTGGACTTCATTAACTGAAGAATTTCTTATCCCTGTATCCTCAAGGTTCAACACTCTACCTGACACAAACTGGTACCTAATAAATGCTCGAGTAAAAGAGTCAATGATTCATTCCTTAGTAAAAGTGTCGTCTAGCGTGGCATAAAATCGTGACAAAGGATAAATCCCTTTCTTTTAATCAATTTTCATATCATGAGCCACTGATCTTTTAAATGCATATTAAAAGCAATGCTATTCCAAAAACTTTCCAAATGGCAGCTTTGAATGACTTAGATAAATGTGTGGTAGGAAGCAAATTCCAGGCAGAGGGATAGTAGCTTAAATTTAAAAACAAAAAAAAAGAAAGAAAAAGAAAAGAAAGAAAAGAAAAGTATGGGCAAGCTATGAGGCATATGTTTCATGTTTCAGAATCACCCACTATAGATTCTAAATCTGTTTTATTTTCTCTTGTTTTAACATTATTTAAAAGTATGTTTTTCATAGTTAGCAATAACTGTGAAGAATCTAAGATTACATCCTACTTGCAAGCTAACAAGGTAGCCTGCTACAGTTTCACGGATGCCAGCAGAAGATATGAGATTTCCAGGTCATGAACAAGGGACTTTATTACTGACAGCATGGCAAGCATGGCAAGGAACATCATGTCAGAGTCAATTTCCTTTGCCCCAATCCCATGGGTGGGGTCAACACAGATGTGCCCAGATGGATGCCTACAAATGCAGTGGCTTGCATTATAGGAGCAGAAACCTGAGCTTAGGGAGACTAAATCTTTTTTGATGGGCAGTAACTTGACTGCCTTTTGCTCTGGAGGGAGGTGTTAATTTTCATTACACTGGGCAATAAGCATGGCTGCACTTTGCTCTGGAGGGAGACATTATCTCTAATTTTTAAAGCTGTTCCCCATTTAACCATCATTGAGAAGACAGTTTAAAACAAAAGACAGCTAATGCCTCACTCACAAGATATGCAGAAATAAAAGACACCCAAGAGAACTGTCTCCCACTCACAGTAAGAGAAGTAACAAAAAAATATAAATTAAAATATGAAAGTCTCACTTTATTAAAACTTAGATATTTAATTGCCCCTCCAATATAACTCTTGCCACGTAAAAAAAGAAGCTGTATAAAGCCATTTGACTTGGCAGCTTCCTGATGAATAAAAAGCAAAAATCATATTGCTATTTATTGATTCATTTTCCAAAGAAGGTTAGATTCTTTTGGTTTCGGTTTCATTAGGATGAGTTTCAATAAATTTTCCCACCCTGAATATGTTTGGGGATGGCTTAGGGGAGAAAAAGTATCCACATTTTGGCTAGACCATTAACTTGATGCTCAGGTAGAATTTATAATAAAAGGTTAACAGAGTTCATAAAGAGAAGAATGTTGAACTGAGCAATAGGAGTTGTTAAGGAAGATTAGTAACGTCGGGCTACATGTGTAGGAGTAGAAAATTAATCCCAAGCAGAGGGCACATTGGCATGAATAAAGCAAATTTTAGTCACCCAGTCCTTAAACACTGTTGTAAACGACAACTGAAGTACCAAGTCAACATTTTATTATCAGTTGTATCCTGTGATACCAGCATAAATGCATAGAGACCCAGAGAAGGATGAGGCAATTTCAACTGATTGATAATAACTTTACCTGCATAAGCTTCATTCATACGTACAAGAAAAACAGGGGAGCAACATCATTTAAGTCTGTGAGATTCATATCACAGAAGCAACCCTAATATAATCTCAAAATATAAGACTGAGTTGGTTCTATGGATTGTCTGTCTACCTATCTGATATTTTTTGTGTTTTACCTTTTCATAAAAGCATTAATAATTGAGAGAGATTGAATTTATTTTATGTCCTCAAAAAACTCAGTCAATTCATGCAGATGCTAACCCTTTCAGCTTTTTTGGTAAACATACGTTATAATGTTGGTTATTGTGAATCTTCCAGTTGTCAAATCTTAAAGGGTACCGAAAATCCTGAGACTGTTTTACCAGGGGTGTACATATTATTAAAACACCCTTTTAAAATGAACAGACATTTTTCAAAAGAAGACATATATGAGGCCAACAAACATATGAAAAAATGCTCATCATCACTGGTCATTAGAGAAATGCAAATCAAAACCACATTGAGATACCATTTCACACCAGTTAGAATGGCAATCATTAAAAAGTCTGGAGACAACAGATGCTGGAGAGAATGTGGAGAAATAGGAACACTTTTACACTGTTGGTGGGAGTGTAAACTAGTTCAACCATTGTGGAAGACAGTGTAGTGATTCCTCAAGGACCTAGAAATAGAAATTCTATTTGACCCAGCAATCCCATTACTGGGTATATACCCAAAGGATTATAAATTGTTCTGTTACAAAGACACATGCAACGTATGTTCATAGCAGCACTGTTTATAATAGCAAAGACCTGGAACCAACCCAAATGCCCACTGATGATAGACTGGACAAGGAAAATGTGTTACATGTACACCATGGAATACTATGCAGCCATAAAAAATGATGAGTTCATGTCCTTTGTAGGGACATGGATGAATCTGGAAACCATAATTCTCAGCAAACTGACACAAGACCAGAAAATCAAACACTACATGTTCTCACTCATAGGCGGGTATTGAACAATGAGAACACATGGACAGAGGGAGGGGAGCATCACACACTGGAGTCTGTTGGGGGGGGCCAAGGGAGGGTCAGTGTGGGGGTGGGGAGGTCAGGGAGGGATAACATGGGGAGAAATGCCAGATGTAGGTGATGGGGGATGGAGGCAGCAAACCACACTGCCATGTGTGTACCTATGCAACAATCCTGCATGATCTGCATATGTACCCCAGAACCTAAAGTAAAATTAAAAAAAAAAAGAAAAAAAAAAGAATACGTAGGCATCATTATCCAGTACCAGTTATCAAATAAAAAGCTTTCAAGTTTTCCCTAAAATAAAATAAAATGAAAAGCTGGGTGAGTCTCTCGTTAAATCTCTTCAGAGGCTTTCCATTTTACTGGGAATGATGGTCTAATTCTTTAAAAATACTTGGTCTCTTTGCCTCTGGTCTTGCCTCCCCTGTCTCTCTTCCCTTGTCTATCACCAGTGTCCCCCTCCCAGTTAGATAATTCTGAGCAAGGACCTGATATGATCTAACTTTCACTGAAACGCAAAAAGCATAAACAGTCAATTGTGGAAGCAGGAAGATGATTTACAATACAACAATCTAGGCAAGAGATGATGACAGCTTGAATAGTACAGCAGCAGTGACAATGATGAGACACCCCGCTCTATACCATGATTCCCATTACAAAAGAAAAATCCTCTCTGTGTCTAGACAGCCATCAAGCAATTTCTCATGTAACAGTGTCTTTGCTGAGTTAGTCCTGATCCTTAAGTCTCTTTCACAAAGAAAATGTTCAGAATGTTTAATTTCAAATCCAGGTAGAGTCACGGGATGCCATACATAGCAGAATAAGATATTGGGATTACTTGAACAGTCATGGTAGCTGTAGTTTACTTTGTTCTTAACCTCTATCTGCAAATGTCATGTCAATCTTGGCAATATTTTTAGAACTCTTTAATTTTTCAGCTACTAATTATTGGATATTTCCTCGTTCCAGGCAACACACTAAGTGCTTTGTGTGTGTGTGTGTGTGTGTGTGTGTATGTGTGTGTGTAGTGTGTGTGTGTGTGTGTGTATGTGTATTATTTAGTCTTCAAAATATAGTAAGCCAGATATTACTGACTTCTCTTTGTACAGACAGAGAAACGAGGCTTACATGGGTTAAGTACCTTGCCCAAGGGCCCAGTGGGTTAGGAGCAGAACGAGGACTCCAAGGCTGGTGTGTCTCCAGACCTGTGCCCTTTCAGAGTCTGCTTCCCTGAAGCAAACTTTGCAAGTCATCCTCCAACAAGGAAATTAGTTGTCTCCTGCAGTAAGGCGTAATCATCGCTAGAGATGCAGAGAGCACAAGCCGTATACCATCTGTTCAGAATACCCGTGGAAGGGACTCCTGCATTAGCAGCAGGTTGGGCCACGTGACCTCTGAGTTTCCTTCCAACTGATTGCTACACTTTGCTAAAGAGCTGGAATATTTTAGAGCTGGGCTTGAGATACTGAGTTAGTGGCAAGGTGAGATCATTGTGAGGACCATGAGGGAGAAAACAGAAAGAGGCAGTTGCCACAGAAATCTTTTACTTTTTCAACATGTTATGCCTGCCCCTAGCATGCTTAGAGACTGCTGGTCCTGTAAATAAGTTCTCATTCTGTTTGATTCTGTTCTTATGAGTGATTTCATGCCTACAAAGTGTGGGCCATCCCATTTGAGCTGAAAAGAGGTTTCTAAATTGTCCTATGCATACTGCCATCTCACTGTTCCTGTTAGACTACAGCTCTCCCAGCAAGTTGAAAGATGTTCTCTAATTTATAAACAAGCAAGGGAAAGCAGCAGGGCAGCAGAGCTAGGTCAATTATAATAGCAAATGTGGATGAGCCACTATGCCCACAGAAAACCTTCATTACACACTACTCAAAAAATTAAGATTCTGAAAAAACAAAACAACCAATCTGAGTTGTGATTGCCTCCCTTCTTTCACCTGACTTGAAAGGTGCTTTCTTTGTTGCTTTCATCAGTTTTTATCCCATGGAAATAAAATCCTAAAGTATATATTAGAAGGTGGATCATGTATGCATGCATGCATCCATCCATCCATCCGTCTGTCTACCCACCCATCCATCCACCCATCCACCCATCCATCCATCCATCCTACACTATCTTCCAGGAACTGGGTATATGCTAGTTGACATGATATATATGATTTCTGCTTTCACAAAGCTCACAGACCAGTAAGGAGGCAATTAATGATAGAGTCTGAAACATGCAGAGATAGAGAAACTCCAAGGTAGCATATGAGCACATGGCAGGACTCCTTAACTCACATTTGTCTGGTCAAGGAAACCTTCACAGAAATAGCTCATGTTTAAATTGTTTCCCAAAGAAAGAGTCAGGATTCTGTAGACTAATTCAAAATGCATGAGCTTTGGGGGAGAGGGAGAAGGAGTGAACTAGGGAGGGTTTTACAGTACAGGAAACATGTGAGGAGGACAAAAAAGTACATGTTTGGGGAACAGAGCATCTAAGTAGTTTCTATCCTTCTCTTCAGACACAGTCAGGGGTCCCAGGGAGCTGCACCATTAAAAAAAACTGTAAATACTGTTTCTGAAGCAATTGTATTGAGATATAATTTATACAGCACATAGTTTGCCATGCAAAGTGTGCAATTCAGTGACTTTTATTATATTTATGAAGTCCTACAAACATCACTCCTAAAGGAAATCGCATAATCTTTAGCTGTCACTCCCTAAGGCAAGTGACCTTCAGATGTAATTAAAAAAAGGTGTCAGTGTTAAGTGCTGTTTAATAGGTCCAGAGAACAGCCAGACACTCAAACCTCTGGAACCCAGGATGTCTTTCTATGGTGAAGCGTGTGTGTGTGCTGTGTGTGTGGTGTGTGTGTGTGTGTGTGTGTGTGTGGTTGTGTGTATGTGTGTGTGTGCTCTGTGTGTGTGTGTGGTGTGTGTGTGTGTGTGTGCTGTGTGTGTGTGTGTGTGTGTGTGGTGTGTGTGTGTGTGGTATGTGTGTGTGTGTGGGGTGTGTGTGTGTGTGTGTGTGTGTGTGGTGTAGGGAAGATGGAGAGAGAAGAGGGTTCTAAGAGAAGTAACAATAACCCCAGGTCACATTCTTCAATTTTAACTCTAAAATAGGCTCTTGAAGCAGAAGTCGGGCCGGCTGCTGTGGCTCACACCTGTTATCTCAGCACCTTAGGAGGCCAAGGCAGGCAGATCACTTGAGGCCAGGAGTTCGAAACCAGCCTAGTCAACATGGCAAAATCTCATCTCTACTAAAAATACAAAAATTAGCCAGGTGTGGTGGTACATGCCTGTAATCCCAGCTACTTGGGAGGCTGAGGCACAAGAATCGCTTGGAGCTGAAAGGCAACCTCTGTAGTAAGCCGAGATTGTGCCACTGCACTCCAGCCTGGGCAACAAAGTGAAACTTACCCTCAGAACACACACATACACACACACACCCCACCACCACCACCACCACCACCACCACCACTACCACAACAAAAAAGCAAGCAAGCAAAAGTATTTAAGTTGCAAGCCCTGAGAGATTTTGTTTTCTGTTAAGCCCCTAAACAAGGAATAGTAAGAGCAAAAGAGTTTGGAAACTCCAAGCATACATATTTACATAAGAACAGTTTTCCTATACCCAAAAGAGTTCTCAGAAGAAGAAGAGGGGGGTTGTATTCAAAATATAGATCCTGCCTATGGCTCAGGACTCTGGGATGCCGGATGAAGAAGTGCATCATCAACAAACTGGAACTTCTCCTAATTCATGGGAGAAGTTCCTAGCACAAAATGAATCATTGCTTAGCTTCACAGCTGGAAACTAAGTCTCACCGAGAAATCTCGGGTTTTTCTTGGTGTCTGTGTAGCAACAACTGAGTGGCATAACTGGGGAGATAATTCCCCACTTTCCTGGTCCCACATGAACAGTTTCAGAGTCTGAAGGTGAGGGGCATCCTAGAATTTCCCAAATACCTAGAAGGGGTTGTAAATGGCTAAGAATTTGCTGGTAGGCCTTGAGAGGCCTCATGGTTGAGTTAAAGAAAGCACAAGTGTTTCACGTTGACAGAACAGGTACGGATGCTTAAAACCAGTGGCTCATCTCAAGAGAATGGACAAGTCTGATGAACACAGACCAGACATCTTCCTCCAAATCAGGAAGACTTGGGATTCTTCTTAGCGCTTCTGTTTATAAATGAAGTTTTACTGGAACACAGCTATGCTATCTGTTACAGCCACTGTCTATGACTGCTTTGGAGCAACAAAAATGACAGAACTGAGTAGTTGCAACAATTATATGTCCCTCAAAGCCTCAGACACTTACTTTCTTACTGTTTACAGAAATTTGCAATTTGTCAATTCCTGGTGTAGAGTCTTAACCGTTACAGGATGTAACATACCCACACCACATGCACCCACTGTAATAATCAGTGTTCTTCAGAGAAACAGAACCAGTAGGATATATCTACAACTACCTCTCTATCCCTGTCTGTCTGTCATCTATCTATCTATCTATCTATCTGTCATCTATCTACCTACCTACCTATCTATCTAGAGACTGATTTATTTTAAGGAATTGGCTTATACAATTATGAAGGCTGACAAGTCCAAACTCAGCAGGACTGGCCAGCAGGCGGGAGAAGAGTTGCCATGCAATTTGGAAGGAAGTTTTTGGCAGAATTTGCTCCTCAGTTTTTTTCTATTAAGGCCTTCAAAGGACTGGATGATGCCCACTTACATTTACAGTGCCTAATCTGCTTTACTCAAAGCCTACTATTTAAAATGTTAGTCTCGTCTAAAAATACCTTCACAGAAACATCTAGACCAATGTTTGACAAAGTATCAAGGTACTGTGGCTTAGCCAAGTTTACACATAAAATTAACCAACACACACACACACACACACATGCACACACACACACACACACACACACACTCTCTCTCTCTCTCTCTCTCTCTCTGTCTCTCACAGTTGTTTGAAATCAAGAAAATGACATTCTCCCCTCTGTTTTCCTTCTAAAGATTTCTCTTAACTCCTTTTGATTGGTTTGCAGTTAAGAAGGAAGAGAACACAGAAATCCTATATTAATATTCACAGTGCTCCAAGAAAATATAATTTCACTATAATAATTCAAACTTTATCTCTAGGATGAGATAAAGGTAAATATTTCACATTTCACAATCTGGTCGTTTTGGTGTGGCACGAGCATGAAAAAGCTAAATCCAAGTGGATTTTTATTTAAATCAGCTGGCATAAAGATGACACATTCCTTTTTTCTCAGTGGGAAAAGCAGACGGGCCTAATTAATAAAATGTATCATATCAATCTTCAATTATATCTCAGTGGGGAGGAGAATAATGTAGTCTAAAAGTCTTCAGGCCTTGGAGAATGATGTTTTAATTAAATAAACACGTTTTTATTTTGTATTTAGGAAACAGCTTTAAAAACAAAGTACCAGGGTCTCGTTTTAAGTGAAAAGGCTGAAGAATAAAAACTTTTGTTAGTAATATCTGTTTTTCCCCTTACTTTTATAAAGTGGGTACAATTTCTGGTTTATTTCTCTGACAGGGTCAGTGCAAAAAGCAAACGATATTTAGAAAAGAATTTTTTCGAAAATGATATTTAGTAAAGGATTTTGAAAATTGTAAGAGACAATAGAAATAGACAACGATAAAGAAAGTGGCCAGAAGAACCTAGCTGGCTACTGTTCCGATTTGAATGTCAATGCACAAGAAGTTTAAAGAAACTGGCAGCGAATGCTGAATACCAAGGCAAAGAAAAGGCAGGGGAGATGTCATTAAACAGAATCCACCAAGCTCACCTCAACTCCCAGATCTAGGAGTCAGCACTTCCTCTGGAAATTACAGTGACCTGGGTGATAAGGTGAGTCCTGCAGTTTGCACTCCAAACCTCTCACTGCTGGAAAACTTTAATTAGACAACTTATTGCAGCCTTAGCCATTGGAGATGTTGTATTTTACCAGACAACCATAGAACCTCCTGGAGTTCAAAAAGTCCAGGTTGCAATTGCAGATGTCTCCAGGGCCTAGGCAGGGAACGTAAGGGTGAAATACATCACAGGTCATTGCAAGTTCACCTGACTCTCAGCCCGTGTCAGGGAGACAATAAGAAGTAATGAAAAAATGGGGAGAATAATAGGCTACCCATCATCTCTGAAGGAAGAAGCTCTGTTAGAAGACCCCGATTCTTAGCCTGTAAGAATGGGGGTCCAGGAAAGAGAGAAAATCCTTCAATATTTAAGTATTGGCAGCTAATTCCAATTAGAAAACCAAAACCAAACTACAATCCTTATGCTAAATTAAACACCTACAGACTGTCAATTTCAATTTCTGACACAATATACGCTTCTGATTTTACTGAGGAAACAAGACCAGAGAAAAGTGACTAGCTCAGGAGCAACCAGACAGAAGTCAGTTCCTTCTGCCTCTAAACAATTCCTTTTCATCACGACACTACATTGAACAGAGGTACTGATGTTCCCAACATTTTAAATATTTAACATAAAATGTGTATCTGCACGTGAATATTCCTAAAGTTAAGAATATCTTCTCATACTCATTTTCATCTTCTCAACCATTTCTCAAGGTAAAAATTAAACTATTGCAAAAGAGCAAAAAAAAAGATGTAGAGGTTAGTTCGTGTAGTTCTTTTCTGAAGTCTGGGGATGAAGGATGCACTGGTCTCCTTTTCTATAGGTAGAGCATGTGCCCTATCTCTCTGACAGGGTCAGTGAGAAAAGCAAATGATTAATGAAAAACAAATATTAGCTCTAAACTTACTTGTTCCCCTCCATGTCTCTTTTCAAGGTTTCTGTCAGACATATCTGAAATTTGTGTAGCTTCAAGACTCTAGTTTCAAAGACAGCTTGAGCAGAAAAAGTAAAATCTACCAAATGGAACATCGGAGAATTATGAGGTCTGATTGAATATGGCTAAGGAAGTTTAGGTGTACTGGAAGCCATGTTTTATTAAAACAGTACATTACTCTGTGATTTTTCTTTCCCCTTTTGGGCTGAGTGACCTGAGATTCACTGCTTAGCACATGTGTGCCTCAGTTTGTCCTGTGATAGCAATGTCTTACAAGGCTCTCAAGAGGATAAAAGGAGGGGATTGTGCTGTGTACAGTGTCTGGAAAATGTTTAGTGCATAATAATTGCAAGCTGAGCCTGAGGATTTTGCATCCTTGCAAGTAAATACACTGTAAATTTTGTCTGCAAACTTGTAATTACAGATGCTGTAGGCTTATTAGGTTACAACGCAGTTAATTTTTTTAATCATTAATTTTTAGACCCATTCTAAAATATAATATATTTCAGTCTGATTTCCTCTTAATATTACACACTAAAAAACACTTAGCAATTTAAAAGCATTTATTTTATAACAACAAAGGCATGTTAGGTAGCATTAGCCACTGGTCAAAAAACAGCTTGTGAATGCTATGATGTCTGTGATTTGCTTCTAAACAATATGGAAATTGGAAAATGAAATAACAATTGGCTGTGAGTTGATAATTGTTGAGGCTGGGTGATAGGTACATAGAGGCTCATTATGCCGTTGTCTCTTCTGCATATGTTTAAAATTTTCTATAATAAAAGAAAACCAGCCTCATGTATAGCAGAGTTAGATCTTCAGCTGGTTTAAAATCTAATTTGTTTCTCCCCACTGCATCCTGCTGCTCGTGCAGGAATGGCAGATATTCAGCACTTGTGCCGTATCTCCCCACACTCTTACCCACGGCATGCATTAATAGTCAACCATGACATTCCTCATTTCAGGACTTCAGGCAGCTACTGTCAATTGATGGGAATTGTTAGATGAAAAGAGAACTCTTCATTACCATTGACTTATAAACAAGGAAGGTCATTATTATACTTAACTGAATTTTCTTTAATTTGCAGAGTCTAGGGATGATGAATGTTTAGGATTGTAAATACTACTGCTATTTAAGGAAATTGGACTTAATGTGGGTTTTTTTTTTTTTTTTTTTTTTTTTTTTTTCTTTTTACTGTGAACTTATAGTTTGATTTTTATATGAAAATGAAAGTTACCGGCCAGGCGCGGTGGCTCAAGCCTGTAATCCCAGCACTTTGGGAGGCCGAGGCGGGTGGATCACGAGGTCAAGAGATCGAGACCATCCTGGTCAACATGGTGAAACCCCGTCTCTACTAAATATACAAAAAATTAGCTGGGCATGGTGGCGCGTGCCTGTAATCCCAGCCACTCAGGAGGCTGAGGCAGGAGAATTGCCTGAACCCAGGAGGCGGAGGTTGCGGTGAGCCGAGATTGCGCCATTGCACTCTAGCCTGGGTAACAAGAGCGAAACTCCGTCTCAAAAAAAAAAAAAAGAAAAAAAGAAAAAAAGAAAATGAAAGTTACCTTGTTATAAGTTGAGATTCTGGCATGTTAATATAAATTCGATATATCAAAATCTCCTTTTCATCATGATATATTAACAGCTTCTACTTTTACATTCTAACGGTTCATATAATTTTGATGTGTATTTTTCTCTGATTTGCATTATGGATTTGGATAATGAAGAACAGATTAAACTTGGTGCTAAGACATATACATTTTATACTTTTATTCACGTTCAGCCAATTCAGCATACACAGATGTTCATTATTATTATTATTATTATTATGTTCATATTATGTTCATATTATTATGTTCATATTAGCATATGCTAATATGGTTGTTGGGATCCATAATATTACAATCTAGGGGTTGGTAAACTATGGCCCATCGGCCAAATCTGATCTGACATGTTTTTGCATGGCATGCAAACTAAGCATGGGCTTTACATTTTTAAATGGTTAAAACTAAAAGAATACTTCATGACATGAAAATTTTGATTCAGATTATCACTGTCCATAAATATAGCTTTGTTGGAACACAGCCACATGCACGTTTTAAGGCGTTTTCTATGACTGCTTTTGAATGACCACAGCAGGGTTGGGTAATTATGTCACAAACCATGTGGTCTACTGAGCCTAAAATATTACTGTCAAAGAAAAAATTTCTTGGCCCTTATTTTAGTTCAACTCTGCACAAGGGAGTTTTTTGCAATGGAAGTGCTGTACATTTGTGTGGTCCAGTACAGCAGCCACATAGCTATTGAGCCTCACATGATGGCCAGCATGCCTGAGAAACTGACTTTTTATTAAATGTAATTAATTTAAATAGCCACATGTACCTAGTAGAAAATGCAGTTCTAGTTTGTCTATAATGGAAGTTTGGGTCTGTTTTTTTTTTTTTTTTTTTCCTTTTTGAGACAGGGCTCACTCTGTTGCCCAGGCTGGAGTGCAGTGGTGTAATCTCAGCTCACTGTAACCTCTGCCTCCAAGGTTCAAGTGAGTCTCCTGCCTCAGCCTCCCAGGTAGCTGGAATTATAGGCACCCACCACCACACTTGGCTAATTTTTGTATTTTTATTAGAGATGTGGTTTCGCCATGTTGGCCAGGTTAGTCTTGAACTCTTGACCTCAAGCAGTCCGCTCACCTTGGCCTCCCAAAGTGTTTGGGATTACAGGCGTGAGCCATTGCACCTGGCTCTGGGTCCCATTTTGACTTTCGAAGATTACAGTATCTTGCCATCTCCTTAACCATCTGACTTTAACAGTCATCCTATTTTTTCTCATACAACTGACTTTCATGTTACTAAATCCAATATACTACTCTTGGATTTCATTTTCCTTGGCATCTCTGCCACATTAAACCAATGATTTTCTCCTTTCTGTGCTTCTGAAATTGCCTTCTATGCTATTTACTGTATACTCCTTTTCTTCCTTTTAAAAGTAGACACTTACTAATGACCTGGCTGTGTCTTCTATTTGTAATTGTTTTCCTGACAATAGCTTTTATTATTATGGCACCAACTCTCACGCCTAAGCAGAAGCTCATCTGCTCAGACATGAGAGTTGGTGCTATCTATAGCTCCCGGGCAGAGTTTCTGAAAGTCTGACTGCTTGGTGTACATCTCTACTCTAACAGCGCACCAACATACAAACCAAAGCTTAGCTTATACCACCTCTTTCTGATCCCTTGAGTGTTCTCTTTTTCCTAAATTTTCCAGGAAAACTTCCCGTTACAAGACTCATAAACTTGGAGTCCCGCTGTTGTTTTAACATCATCTGTTTTAACCACAAATTTTAAACAGTAACAATAATACACCTTGACCAAGAGCATGGGCTCAGTAGGCTGTCTGGGTTTGAATCTCAGCATTATTATTTCTTAGCTCCATAATTTTAGGCAAGTTTCCTTTGTTCCTGGTTCCTCTGCTCTCTCATCTGTAGAACAGGGCTAATATAGTACTTACCTTCTAAGTGTGTAAATGTGAAGTTTAAGTGAATTAATATTTGTAAAGCATTTAGGACAGTGCCTGGAAGATAGTAACTTTTAAATAATGTGTTTAAATAGCAATGCCATGCCATATTTTGAACATAAAAATTATGCTTTGAAAATAACAGCTATTGTATACAATAATACAATAAAAGGGATGATATTTTGAGAATTATTTACCAAGATATCACAGACTACTACAAGTCATGAGCTGAATTCTACATTTAGTTAGCTTCTCTAGGCTGCTATAAATAATAGCAAGTGTTTGGTGTCTTTATCAGATAGCTCTGGATATTTGGATGAACACAGACTTTCGCTGATGACTACTTCCAGTGCTTCAAACACAGAACGAATCTGAATTCTCTCTTATCTTGAATTTTGAATAATCTTCTTGCTATCCTTTCTGTCTCCTGGTTTCCTGCTCAGAGTGTCCTACCTATCGAGTTGGAGTATCCTTTCTAAGAACAGCCCTGCTGACCTCAACCAATTGCCAACAGAGAAGACAAAATTCCAAATTATCAATTTGGAGGGTGGGGTCTTTCATATACCTACACCACTGACAATTTCATTCTCATTTCTCTGTGATCCAGGGACTTTGCTTCCTACTTCCCTTTCTATGGAGATCCAAATTTCATCATTTTTTACGGTAAACTCAAGCACCACTCTCCCTCAATTCCCAAATCTCCTTTGCCTCCTCCAAAATTTCTGGATATGATGCCTATTCCTCATATTCCTTTTTGGTATGGTAGTGCCCTTTCTAGACTATGGCTTTCTTTTGTATAAAGGCTGAGATTTTGAGATCTTTGGGAATTCCATGTGCTTTGTATCAGAAGGCTATCCACAAATGTGTGTCATTTTGTCCCAAAGAAGCCCAAGGAGAGCTATCAACCTGATGTGTTTTAAACAACATTTTATATTTAGATTAATTTTAGATTTTGAGAAAAGTTGTAAAAATATTACAGAGAGTTCCTCCATACCCTTTGCCAAGCCTCCTCTAATATCACTATCTTATATAACCATGGAACATTGTCAAAACTAAGAAATTAACATTGGTACAATACTATTAACTAAACTACAGGCTTTATTTGGATTTCACCAGTCTTTTCTCTATGTCCCTTTGTCTTTTTGAAATTCAGGATCCAATCTAGGATAGTACACTGTATGTAGGGACTTGTTTTCAGGTCTAAATGGACACATTATAAGACTGTGGCATATAAAAGGAAATACTGGCAAACTGATTGCAACAGCACATCAAGAAGCTTATCCATCATGACCAAGCAGGCTTCATCCCGGGGATGCAAGGCTGGTTCAACATATGCAAATCCATAAATGTAATCCATCACATAAACGGAACCAAAGAGAAAAACCACATGATTATCTCAATAGATACAGAGAAGGCCTTCGATAAAATTCAACAGCCCTTCATGTTTAAAACTCTCAATAAATTAGGTATTGATGGAACGTATCATAAAATGATAAAAGCTATATATGACAAACCTACAGCCAATATCATACTGAATGGACAAAGCTGGAAGAATTCCCTTTGAAATCAGGCACTAGACAAGGATGCCCTCTCTCACCACTCCTATTCAACTTAGTAGTGGAAGTTCTAGCCAGAGCAATCAGGCAAGAAAAAGAAATAAAGGGTATTCAATTAGGAAAGGAGGAAGTCAAACTGTCTCTATTTGCAGATGATATGATTATATATCTAGAAGATCCCATCATCTCAGCCCAAAATCTTCTCAAACTGATAAGCAACTTCAGCAAAGTCTCAGGATACAAAATCAATGTGCAAAAATCACAAGCATTCCTATATACCAATAACAGACAAACAGAGAACAAAATCAAGAGCAAACACCCCTTCACAATTTCTACAAAGAGAATAAAATACCTAGGAATACAAGTAACAAAGGATGTAAAGGACCTCTGCAAGGAGAAGTACAAACTACTGCTCAACGAAATAAGAGAGGACACAAACAGATGGAAAAACATTCCATGCTCATGGTTAGAAAGAATCAATATTGTGAAAATGGCCATACTGCCCAAAGTAATCTATAGATGCAATACTATCCCCATCAAGCTACCAATGACCTTCTTCACAGAACTGGAAAAAACCACTTTAAACTTCATATGGAATCACAAGAGACCCCGTATAGCCAAGACAGTCCTAAGCAAAAAGAACAAAGCTGGAGGCATCACACTGCCAGACTTCAAACTATACTACAAGGCTACAGTAATCAAAACAGCATGGTACTGGTACCAAAACAGAGACATAGACCAATGGAACAGAACAGAGACCCCAGAAGCAGCACCACACATCTATAACCACCTGATTTTTGACAAACCTGCAAAAACAAGCAATGGGGAAAGGACTCCATGTTTAATAAATGGTGTTGGGAAAACTGGCTATCAATGTGCAGAAAGCAGAAACTGGACCCCTACTTGTCACCTTACACTAAAATTAACTCCAGATGGATCAAAGATTTAAACATAAAACCTAACACCATAAAAACACTAGAAGAGAACGTAGGCAAAACCATCCAGGACATAGGCATAGGCAAGGACTTCATGACTAAAACACCAAAATCAATGGCAATAAAAGCCAGGATAGACAAATGGGACCTATCTAAACTCCAGAGCTTCTGTACAGCAAAAGAAACCCAGAGCTTCCGTACAGCAAAAGAAACCATCATTAGAGTGAATTGGCAACCAACAGAATGGGAAAAATTTTTTGCAATTTAGCCATCTGACAA